CGCGAAAGCAAACCTGCCATCATTTTTATTGATGAAATTGATTCTCTTTGTGGTCAGCGCGGAGAAGGTGAAAGTGAGGCAAGTCGAAGAATAAAAACCGAGTTTTTAGTTCAGATGAACGGTGTGGGAAATGATTCCAGCGGAGTTTTAGTTCTTGGTGCTACAAATATTCCATGGCAATTGGACGCTGCCATTAGGCGAAGGTTTGAAAAGAGGATATACATACCTCTACCAGATGCTGCTGCAAGGGCTAAGATATTTGAAATAAATGTGGGAAAGACACCTTGTAAATTGACTGCAGACGATTACAGAAAATTGAGTGAAATGACGGAAGGGTGAGCTACCGTTACTCACTTTAGTTCTACCGAGTCATTAAACCATATGCATCATTTTTTATTATTATTAGGTATTCTGGCTCAGATATTGCGGTGTTGGTTCGAGACGCTTTAATGCAACCCGTCCGTATCGTTCAAAGTGCAACTCATTTCAGAAGGGTATGCGACTATTCATCCAAATCAATAATTATATCATAAATAAGTTTTAACCGAATTTTCTTATGAAGGTCCGAAAAAGTCGTGACGGAGTCGAGCCAGTTAGAGAATATCTCAAACCATGTTCACCTGGTCGTGAAGGCGCTGAAGAAATGACATGGATGGAGGTCGATTCGAAAAGTTTATATGAACCCAAACTAAAATTCAAAGATTTCTTGAAATCATTAAGTACATCTAATCGTACCGTGAACGTAGAAGATATCAAGGCGCACCTAGATTTTACAAAGGACTTCGGCCAAGAAGGCTAACCAGAATTCCTTTTGCGAATGTACAAGTTCGGATGACCTCGTCTGGGATTTGCATCGTATGCTATATAGAAAGGATCATACGTTTAGTTATCGTTATACTTATTCATATGCGCATTTTCTTTATTGATATCATCACCGTGTCAGTTTAAAATTTGTTATTCGTTGAAAACCTTTTTATTAAAAAGTATTTTATTTCTAGATATGTAAACGTAAAGACGATTGTTTTTGGATTCTTATTAAATTCTCTAATTATTCGCTCCTCAAAACCCCAAATGCGATTTCGGGCTGTAAATAGTTTCGCCTTGATCTATTTTTTTTTTTGGTCAACCATGTTCTTTTTTTCAAGCCTTTTTGAGGCTTAAATGAAAATGTGATAGACATGTCGATATACTGTACATTATTTAATGGTTTATTGTAAATTTTATTTATCGATAGTTATAGCATTAACTTTATACATTATGTATCATTATAACGTATATGTTTATATGTTGGCTTGGTTTTTTTCAGTTGCAGCCTCTAATTTTAAAAATATGGAGCATTAAAATAATTGTCAACATAACAACACTCTGATATGAATTGTAATTTTTTAAACACGGACTATCTGGCGATCTGATTTTCGAGCATTCCGATAAATTAAATCCAAATACTGTAAGTGGACGCAATGTATGATCAACATCTACGGTTATACTGTATTTAGTATTATGTATAAATAAATGGTTAACTTTTAAGCGTCAATAAACTCCGGAATTGTAGGATAGCAGTAGCAAAATAAATTCACCTGATTTGAGAACTCCTCACTTTAATTTGACCAAGTAGCTCTTGTGATTTATCACCTATTGATTAAAATTTAATGGTGGCTGGGAAAGTGCGGTAGAGTAATGGCAATTTGATTAACTAGAAGCTGTATGCGCTTATTGCACGAAAGATGATTGATTCTATAATTGCTTATTTCCGAAAATAACGTTATGTTAAAAAATTATGACTGTTAGAAACTCGGAAGTGATTTGCTTTATGGACTAATAATAGATCTTTTTGAATTTTAGCGAGTTTACCGAGTAATATAATTTAAAGTTCAATCGACTTTAAAGCAACATTTTAAAAATTTATATAGCTCTTTTAATAATATAATCTATGCACTCATTTTCTTAAACATCTGCACTATTATTTAATACTCTTAATTTTTAACATCAAATGCAAGAAGCTAATACAAAAGATTATAACAAATAACAAATATACTGTATATTTTAAAAAATAATTATAAAATATAAAATGATAAAAAAAGTTTTTATATTTTTTTCTTCTAATAATAGATAAAATTTTAAATATATTATAATTTAAATATTAACAATTGCAAAAACAAGTAATAAAATAATTTATTTTTTAAAAAAAGAACGAATTCTGCTATCATATAAATTGTTAAAAATTACTTTCTTGTAGATAGTTTCATGTATCAGGTGGTATTTATTTTTTTAGAGAATAGAAATCCTATTGCTAGCTTTAAACTATTTAATTCAAGGTTCAATTTCAATTGCTTATTTATAAAAGATTATATAAAATGCCATTATAATAGGTTATCTCAATTAACTTTTATAATTGATTTTTGAAAAATATTATCAATAGTACATTTATAATTTTTATATTGTTCTTATTATTTGTAACAATGATATTCTTGTTTGGAATTCTAGTTAAACTTTGCATGGTGTTTATAAAAATTTGGTTGATTTAATAATTTTATTTTTATTTTTTATTGTCTTAACTAATAATTTGATTTGTTTTGATTTACAATATATTTTTAAACTAACAAAAAACCATATTTTGATATATTAAAGTATTAAATTAAAATATATTACTTTAGAATTAATTATTTAAAAATTTGTTAAATAAATTAATAATATAAGATGATTATATTATTTTACTTAAGATATATTATAATTAATAGATTATATTTATTTAATTGATTTTAAGAAATTTAACTTGATTTAATAATTATTTAAATATTTTTTTTAATGGATTTAATTCAATTTAGACATTAAATTATATTCTTAATTAGGTTATACTTATTTAATAATAACAAGTTTGTGAATATATTATAATTTTAATAATAATAAATTTGTATTTATATTGTTATTATTATAAAACAAGAACTTAAAAAGAGTTTAAGATAGTTGAAATAATTGATTTAAACAAATAATATAATTAAATTAAATAATAATATGCAGTTTTACTATATTTATATAATTATTACAAAAGTTTGCTTGTTATAAAAATAATAAAAAAATTTTTTGTTATTTAATTAAACAATAATAAGTTTATATTTACATTATTATTATTATTCAAATAATAAAATTAGAATAAATATTATAATATAATTGATTAAAATAATGATATATATTTTTATTAAAAAAATTTATTTTTAATATTATATCAAAACATAATTTTTTATTTATTTTTAAAATCAAACTAATAATATTATTATAAAGCAAAAAACTTTATTATTGAAAATTATATAATAAATCTATAAAAGATTTTTATTTTATAATAGTATAAATTGTTAAAAACAATCAATCAATTTGTTATTAATAATTAACAAATTTTATAACTAATAATTCAAGTATTAACAATAATAATAAAAACAAAATATTGGATTTAAACAAAATAAATATTATTTTTATATAAACTTCTGTTACTTTTTATTTAATAAAATACAAATTATTTATATTTGTTACAATATAAAAAAAAAGATATTTTTTTTAAAAAATAAAAAATTCCAATATACTTTATTATTAATTATATAATTTTATTACTAATTATAATATTTTATTACTTTCTATTAATATTTTTAGAATTTATTACTTTTTGTGATTCCCAGAGTAATAATTAATTATATAATCTGAATTGAATAACTTATTGTTAATTTTTACTTTTATAATATTAAAAAAAAATCTAAAATAAATAAATAATAAATTTATTAATAATATATTAGAATATAAAACTTTTTTTGCTAAATCTTTTATCAACTCAAAAAACAAATATTCTCAAAAAAATTTATATTATAATAAAAAAATTTATATACTTTTTTTAACAATATTGATTTTTTAATTAACAAAATAAGTAGCAGCTATTACTTGTTTATATTTTCTTTTTACAAAACACTTTTCTTGTTTATTTTTATAACTAAATACAAGAAATATATTTAGAATCTATAGCAAAAACATTTTCTAAAAAAAAACCCCCCCCAAAAAAAATATTCTTCAAAAATTTCCAAGAGATTAAAGAATTCAAAAAATAAGAAAAAAAAGTTTTCAGTTTTCCTATTATCTCTTTTTCCTTTCTGCTTCAGTGAAACCTCGCTCTAACACCTCGTAGCGCAGGTCATAGCTAAGCTGCCCTTATCAGGTTACACTTAATACCATTTTTGACTCTGTTTTTATTGCCACATTGAGGCTAAAACCTACTCACAGGCCTAAGCCATCCGAGTACGGTTTGCCACCTCCACCAGCTTGGCCAATTGCTTA